AATTATGGACAGAGAGGTGAAGCGTACTAAACAGAGCCGCATCCCGATCGTGAAGGTACGGTGGAACGCAAAGCGTGGGCCAGAATTCACTTGGGAACGCGAAGATCAAATGAAGCAAAAGTACCCTCACCTATTCTAGCATTCTCAAATCTAGCTTTCAAACAGAATTTCGGGACGAAATTCCCTCTAACGGGGGATGATGTCACAACTGGAAATTTTGTATCTTGTAAACTATACACTCAAGCTAAAGTGAATCAAAAGCTTAAGAACATGCGTAACACCTATTATTGTGACAACAGAATTTCAATCAAATACACCATACAAGCATTACAAATAGCCAACAAGCAATTGGAAACCCTAGAAGTTCTTATTTAGGTCCACTTTGGACTAGAACTTCCTTATTGGGCCTAATGGACCAATAAACTTCCAATTTGACTATCTTGGGTTTAGAACTCTTAAATGGGCTCTAATTGGACCCACATCTATTTGTTTCAACATTTTGGGCTATGTTGGACCTAGAATGAAATGAATTAAAAGCCTTGATACATGAATGACCTAAACTAGTCCAATAAAAATATAAAAATCCTACCACATTCCTTTAGACTTAAAACATACTCAAGATTAACACTAACATTGGGCTTAGGGGCAAAGGCCCAAATTTTTCCTCTTCCCTTCCAAATTCTCGGCCCAATGCACAAGCCCAAGAGGAAATGGAAGAGTTGACTTTACCATTGCCACATCATTGTTATCCATAGGACATCCATGCAACTCATCTCATTCTTCCATGCAAACATCACTTCAAAATCACTCTCTTCTCTCCTCCCTCTCACTCTCGGCCGAGCAACACACACACACATTCACAAAAATCTCTCAACTCTCTCAAGAACACTCCTTCCTCCCCACTCCAAAAATCTCGAAATTTAGGAGCTTTCAAGAGGATCTTGCAAGTTAATCATCATCTTAGGTAAGTTTTTACTTATATCCATGATCTAGCTACTTCACTCCATCAAAAACCTCTTCTAAATCTATTCCAACTTGTGATCATGCACCTTAGAAGTCATCAAACTCGAGATCTACCAAGGAAAGGTGCTAAGGCCGAAAATCACCAAACTTTCTTCCATCTTTTCTTCCAAAAACCGAAAGCTTCAAACAAGGTGAGCTTCATACCCCCTATTTTCGGTTTTTATAAGTTTTTTTTTTGGGGAGGGGGGGGATGCAAGTGAAAGTGTAGATCTATATGTGTTTTGTATGCTTTGTATGATTCCATGCTTATATGTGTGCTTTTGTGTGTTATAATGTTGGATCTAGCCATAAAACCCCTCAAAACCGAGATATACCTTATGTTAAAAGACTCTAGCATCAAATATATTTCTACATACAAAGTATTTTTAGAAAAATGGCTAAATGGTTTAGTAACAATTTCTTTGGGCTAAAAATACCATTTTTGGACTTAAAATGCGAAAAATACAAACTTTAAGGGCCTAAATTGACAAATCACGAATTCTGAGGGTTGAACTATGTCAAAACAGTTTCAATAAAACAATTTCTGGAAATATACTCATTTAGAGGATTAAAAACATAAATTTCAAGCTTAATGGGCTAAAAATGACATTTTCGGCCCAATGAGGCCCATTATGCGAAATTTTCTGTTTTGGAGGGCCAAAACTGTGTTTTTCTATAAAACAGTGGACTATAAGTGATCCAAGTCCTTTTCAAAGGTTAAAAATGCTTTTTAAATTTAAAAAGGACCAAAGTTGCAAAAATTTTACAATTTGGGCCAAAATTGTCAAACTTTCGAAAAAGAAAGGTTATAACCGAGAAAAACTGAAATTCAGGGACTTAAGCTGTTTTCTATGAAAAATATGCTGGAAAATACTTATTTCAATAATTTTTGGTATTAAAATGTCAAGAAAATTGATTTAAGGACCAAACCGGAAAGTTTTTAAATAAAGGGTTGAAAAAGTAAATTTTTACAAATAAGGAGGGGCTGAAAACAGAAAAATCCTCAAGACTAGTTCAATACATGCAATTTGATCAAATGATGATACCACGACTATCGACGAAATACAATACATTACAACACCAAAAGTCGTTGTCAAACGAATTGGTTCGGTCTCGAACCAATAAAAATCCGAAACTACTAACACGACGACACTATGACATTACGACATTACGATAACGATTGGGAAGTCACTATACATGCGAGTGTGCACAGACGTCTACGCACCACCTTTGGGCCCCAAAAGTGTAAAATCTTGTTCGTTGAGCCTAGCTAGCCCAATGACCTGATCTTAAGGCCCGAAGACCTCTCTCTTACGAAGTGTTGGGTTTTACCGATCCGACATAACGTAAAAGGACTTTCAATGGCTTGTATACTACTGGTCCCCAAGGGTCCTTTGGTATTGCTAGTAAAGTCTACCTTTTCATGCGAGGCGGGTCTGGGACCCCTCGTACCTTTTATCCCAAACCGGCTAATGGAGTTACCGAGGCCTTCGTGTCCTCGTTCTCTTCGGGTGTGGGACTACACGTAGTCAGGGCGGTTGGATAACGTGATTAGTACGGACGACGCCTACGGGATCGTTAGTATTGCTATAGACTAGTCGTTTGTGTAACGTGTGTTTGTAGCAAATAATCATGCTCAAAAATAATCCAACGTCGCCTGGTACCGATAACTTCACACGTTGCAATTGTTTCAATGTACGTTCATGTAATTCAAAGAATTAGGAAAACATCGGGTTTTCCTAGGGTATTTCAATACATACGGATTCGGAATGCACACAAATTTTAAATGAACAATTTTTACAAGTATAGAAACAAACAAGCATACCTATGGATCTTCACACATTCTTGACTTTACTATTTTCAGAAAATATCGGATTTTCTGGTGTTTTTCAAAACATTACAAACATTGGATTTCAAACATTACTTATGAACTCACCAACATTTCATATGTTGACGTTTTTCAAAATACTTGTATTCTCAGGTAACAGATAAAGTGAAGGATGAATTGTACTCTATGACGTTTTGCTGTGGTTTAATTTAGTATCAAACAGTTATTTTTGAGAATGTAATATTCTGGGAACAATGTAATGGATGTAAACGCTACCAGTTGTATCATTCCGAATGTTGGTGATGTATAATGTTATGTTTCATGTATATTCATTGTGATGGTATTCAATTGAGTCACGACAGCCCTCGGACGTTTCCGCCGTCTGGTTCGGGGGTGTGACA